AGTTTTTATACTTTCAGAAAAGAAAGAAGGAAAACGAGAAAATCCAGCCAGTTCTTTTTTTATATTGTAGATGAATCGCTTAGAAAACCGTACAAAAAAAATTAATGTAAAAAAGCACATACGAAATGTAGTAGGTCTGCGGATACGTTCCATAACTTCAAAAACATGGAAAAATTTTAAATATTTTCCCAGAAAACTGTGCAACGAACGTAGTAGCCAAATCCATATTAAATTTTTATAAGACAAAAAAAAATTCATTTTCTTTAGAAGAAATATTTAAATTAGTGTACAGTGAAAATTTAGTCCATAAGTACAACAACCAAAAACTTAAATTTAAATAAGGATTAAAAATCAATTTTCCCACTAACATATTTTACTGATGTGTGGGCATAAAACGACTGAGCTCTGATTGCAGTATTCCCTCAATCGTATCTTTTTGGGTTAAACATAAGTTTCTGTGAGACAGTAACAAAATTAGAATTCAAAAAAAAACGTTTATTATTTGGGTTCGTACTAGTACAGAAAATTCGTGTTTGCTCTGATTGATAAACCGTGTTATTTCAAAAACGTGTAAAAATGCCGTGTAAAAAAGAGTTGAATGTGTCATACGAAGATTTACGCCACTTTACATTTCACAAATATTAAAATAAACATATGGTTATGATGGTCGTACGTTGATGGCCACGCTAGAGTTGCAACCATAACTGGCTGTACTGTTCTTTTCCGAAAAAAAAAAAAAAAATGAATAGAAGTAAAAGCAAAGTGATTTTTGTTTTCCTATTGTACTTATTCATTTAAAAACCAAATCATCGCAGAGCAACCTAAGGATACCTACAACTTATTTCAGCATTTAACAAAAATTTTCAACATAGGAATGAACGGGATAAGTAAAATTAACCATAAATACAACAATAAAATAAGTTGTAGTTGTAGTGACTACATATTAATGCAGACATGCGTTCACTTATAGCATGTCACAAATTTAAAACATAACCCCAAAATGGTAGAACGGAAGACAATAAAAT